ATATTGCCCAGAGGTCTACTTATTTAACACTTTAAGAATGAATTCTTTTGTAACAATGTATTTACGAACAAATATGGTAACCAAAAAAAAAAAAATACGATACGTCGTTTATACAATTTTGGGTTTATCCTAAAAAAATTTACGCTTTTTTCGTTGTTTATTGATTTTTTTATATTAAAGCATATAAGTCTTCCTCCCATTATTTCGGATAAGAAACAAAAATATTTTGTTAATAAATTTTAAAGATTTTTATATTTAAGAAAGTTTTTAAAATATGCTCGTAGTGGGATTTTGAGCTTTAAATTAATAAAACTTAGTTCATCTGAACCTACAATTCACCAATTTGATTTCAAAAGTAAACGGATATAACATATAATTGCATTTAAGAATTTAACCAAGTTCACACTTTAATATAAACAAATATTCCCAAAACTGATATAAAAAATTACTGGATCATTTTGAGGTGATTTTCTATGACTTGGGATATAATTTGTAATAACTTGACCATAACTTCGCCATAACTTAGCCATAACTTAGCGATAACTTGGCAATAATTTGGCCATAACTTGACTATAACTTGGCTAGAACTTGATGAATATTCCTAAATAAATTGCAGTTTTGACAAATTGCCTAGTCTTGATGACTTCAATATGAGAAATTACAAAATCAGAACAATTAACCCACATCAAAGTCACAACTGTATATATTACGTGACCAATGTCATGTTGCACCGTCTTGTTTAAACTATACACGTTTTCAATATATCTTTTAAATGTCGCCTCGCATATCTTTTACGATAAACCATTTGAGATCTTCGAATATAACTCCAAAACAAATTTATAATCATCCCAGCATTATAATACATATTAGTTCCAATAACATACAATCCCATTAACTATCAATGTAACTTACGTATCAAACTTTGACTACAGATCATAAATTTTCTACGTTAATTAAACAGTGTCTCAGCAAATTCTCAGCTTTGTTTACTGACTGTTAACTTGTGTCTTGATTGCCTTAGTGTGCATACTAAAAATTTTGATAATAAAATTGATAACAAATAAAACACTACACTCTTGTGAACTCAAAAGATACATCAATAGTATTATCAATATACACTAATAGTATCAGAAGTCTCTAGCTTATAGATTACACCAGTTCAATATTTTCCTTCTGTAGGATGATTTTTATAACTTTTGTTTGATTTTAATAGATATGAAGTTACTTTATATGATATCTTCTGTTTATTTAGATTTAAATTGTTGCTGATAAATAATATTATTTAACATACAAATGTCATTCTTATAAGACACGAAATATAAACTTCCTTAATCTAAGCATTATTCTCTACAGTATTGACATGTAAAGCTCATGATAAATTTGATGATAGAGCGTTGGTTTTGATAAAAAAGATGATGGATGATGCCATCAAATATCAAATATATTGAAATAAATGAATAATACTAGTGGGTATTGATACTTTTCTTTCAATTCAAACATTACTACATTGTTACATTATTGCTTGATTTTTTCTGCCAAAAAAAAAGTAAATATTTATATAATTTAATGCTGTTCTTTTGCAACTCTCATACAAAAGAAAGCAACTAATTTCTATTTTAATCAATATTTTTTCTTTTTGTATTTATGTTGCCACTATATTTTACATTTCTCAAAGTATTTTTATGTGATTAATATATTAAGTTAACACAGATCGATCAATAGTGTTTATTCATAATTCATTTTCAGACTTCACATTTTTATCTTCTGCTCGAACTCCGCTCCTCAGTTTTTTTCTTCAACTGAGGATGTATCGGATCGTTTTTTTAAACATTTTTTAAACACAATTTTTAGTTAAATCTTTTATTGACTCTTATTTATCACATTACAGCTTTTGGTTATAATTATAAATTTAATTTTTTTATACTCATTTGTGCACAAAATAATTATTATTTAATTATTAATATAAAAAAATATAGGATTAACTTTTAGTTAATTAAACGTCTTCAGTGGTTGTGGCGTTACTGTAGAGAAACCAGGAGTAACATACCATTATTTTTGCACCATATTCACAAGCATCTTCTTCAGCATCATGTAAGGTCTTGCATTTGTTTATACCTTCCAAATCTTCATCATCGGAATAAGCATACTTAACAACTTTTTTAGTATCCAATTTTCCATTTTTATCTAATAAATTCATTTCTTCCAACAAACAATTGGCAAAGCATTTGATTTGCTTCGGTATTTGACTGAAATCAAATTCACTGTAATTCTCGGTATCATCAGAATCTTCGTCATCTTCGTCATCCTCGGTATTATCAGAATCTTCGTCATCATCAATATCATTTTGTGTACTATTTGTATTATCTTCGTCGTCGTCGTCATAATCGAACCATTCTTCAAATTCTTCATCCGAAATATTTAGTTTCTTTTGACATTTGCGAGTCGCTATCTGAAATTCCTTTTCCTCAGCGGAATGAGATGTTGGCTTGGACTAAAATAAATTTTATTGAAAATTTTATTAATAAAATTTTAGGAAATAATTTTATAATTAAATGCAATAAATGATTTTCATTTCTTTTAATTTTTTAATACCTTTACGAGCAATGTCAGTGCCAACACAATAAAAATACTAATTACAAACGATTTCATTTCGAACTATTTTAGTTTTGTATCTCAACTATTAACCGATTGTTATTCTGTGAAGTATCTATCCACTGTCATTAAAAGCCAATACTGAACGCAAACTGCATTGAGTTCAATCTATTTATATGAAGTAGATAATGTGAATTTTTGTTCAGAATGTGTTGTTTTGATACTCGTATTCATTTTTTCATTATAAAATTGTTTTGAAACTGAAATATTCTGATGACTAAACATCAACAGCACAGATAAATTTATTTAAATCTCGTGTTAATATTAATTTTCATTATTTAAATAGTGTGATTTTATGTAATTGCCGTTATATGTAAATCCATTTCACATTAGTTTTCATGTCAAATTTACTTAATTATTGCTATAGCAAATGATAAAAAAATTAATTTTAATTAAAACAATCACAATCCCAAATTGCAAATCTATAAAAAATAAAAAAACTATTGAGATATAGGTATACCGTAATATATTTTTGTTATTATATATTATGCATATATATACTGATATATATGTAATATAAGTTATCGAAATAGATGATGAATGAAATGATACCAATTTTGTTTTATTGCAGACTACATATATATACGGATATATTATATGTGTAGTATAAATAATCAAAATAGACGATAAAAATTTTAAATGATCGGAAGTTATTTGCCATAGACATAACTAACGAGATATATACCAATTTTCTTTTATTTCATATTACATACATTATATATTCGAATATATATGTAATATAAATAATCAAAATAGACGATAAATTTCAAATTACTGGCACTTAATTGTCATAGACATAACTAACGAGATTTGTACCAATTTTCTTTTATAACAGATTATATATTTTATATATTCGGATGTATATGTAATATAAGTAATCCAAATAGATGATGAATTTCTAATCATTGGCACTTAATTGTCATAGACATAACTAACGAGGTCTATACCAATTTTCTTTTATAACAGATTATATATTTTATATGTTCGGATGTATATGTAATATAAGTAATCCAAATAGATGATGAATTTCTAATCGTTGGCAGTTAATTGTCATAGATATAACTAACGAGATTTATACCAATTTTCTTTTATAACAGATTATATATTTTATATGTTCGGATGTACATGTAATATAAGTAATCCAAATAGAGGATGTATATGTAATCATTGGCAGTTAATTGTCATAGATATAACTAACGAGATTTATACCAATTTTCTTTTATAACAGATTATATATTTTATATGTTCGGATGTATATGTAGTATAAGTAATCCAAATAGATGATGAATTTCTAATCATTGGCAGTTAATTGTCATAGATATAACTAACGAGATTTATACCAATTTTCTTTTATAACAGATTATATATTTTATATGTTCGGATGTACATGTAATATAAGTAATCCAAATAGAGGATGTATATGTAATATAAGTAATCCAAATAGATGATGAATTTCTAATCATTGGCAGTTAATTGTCATAGATATAACTAATGAAACTTATACCAATTTTCTTTTATAACAGATTATATATTTTATATGTTCGGATGTATATGTAATATAAGTAATCCAAATAGATGATGAATTTCTAATCATTGGCAGTTAATTGTCATAGACATAACTAACGAGATTTATACCAATTTTATTTTATAACAGATTAAATATTTTATATATTCGGATTTACTAGATAATGAATTTCAAATGATTGGCAGTTCATTGTCACAGACATAACTAACAAAATATATACCAAAATTTTTTTATCACAGATAAAAGAAATTTATACAATCGGATATATATGTAATACAAAGAATTTAAATAGATAATGAATTTGAAATGATTGGCAGTTAATGACTAACGTTTTCAATTAAGTAATTTATGCCAGAAACTGGAATTTCCTCAATCAATGCATTTCAAAGAAAATAGAAAACTGAACTAAAATAATTACATTTACGTTTAATTTATAATTACGTTTATGCATATATTATTTAAAATCGACCTATTTATAAACAATAAACAATATGTAAATTATTTAATAAATTAAAAATTCTAACATTTACTACGAAAATTCGGTTCTGTAATATAAATGAGATTTTCTTGTGAAATTTACTTGCTTATCCATAATAATTATATTGTGTTAGAATCTATTTGTTAGTATTTTATTTATAGCAATTATACTATAAAAATAAAAATATTTGTGGTCATGATAATCTACTCGAATATATACAAAAATAGATATTAAACGATACGAACCTTTAAGTCAAAATAATTAATTCATTTTAATGAATGAAATATAATTTATACGGTATTAAATCGAATATACAATTTAAATTTTAATTAAACTATACGAATAAAAAATTAAAATTAGAGAAGAAAACAAAATTAATTAAACCTTAATAAAAAAACATAATTGCGGCCGTATGCTCTTCCTAGGAGTCAAAGGATTAAATTAAAAAATAACATAATGAATGTAAATTAAAATATAGCCAAATTTCAATATCTGAAGAAAGATACCTTAGCTAACCTGAATAATTTAAGACTATTAATGAACCTAACAATATTCCTCGGCTTGAAATTGTAAATCGTATTCGGTCCAACGAGTATTAGATCGGACGCATTTTTGAATGCGACTCTTCTAGATTGGACATACTGTGGATTGATGTCAAATAACATATTATAATCCAGTAGTTTTGTATTGAGAAAAATGTAAATTGCCATACGTAAAAGACAACAATAAAGAAAGGCCATAATGGCACCTATAGTACCACAAAGTCTAATCAGTAACGCATTTAGGGCTGCCTACATGGCATTCTTAAAATTATTATATTTTAACTCATGCAAACCACATTGAGTTTCTCGAATTTGGTTGTCATCTGCGGGGGTTAACTTTTTATACAAGTTTTATAAAAATCATAGTTCACACGAAGTTAATAAAAAGTTGATTTATAGTGTAATTACTTGTACGACGGGTCTTAAAGCTTTGGAAAAAGTAAAATCACTTTTCCATTTAATATCTAACATATACATTTATAGTATATACTTTTAGGAAACTTTTATTATGGAAAAAATATTGCATATCTTTTTAATATTTTATAGCAACAATTCTTATCTCAAAAAGTTGTAAAAAAGCTTGATATAAGCTTTAAGTGCTTAATTTCTCTTAACCATCTCTTACCGTTTCTCTTTTTCGACAAAAACCAAAGATAATAATAATATTTATTATCTTCGCAAAGTATCTATAAAAGTTTATATTATATTAAACAAAAATATTGCTATAAAATTCAGATAACGAAAAAATATAAACTGTTTGAAAATTTAATATTTTTAATTAAAATCCAAATTTAAAATTATTTAAATAAATTAGAAATAATTAAATAGATTTTTCAAATATTAAAAAATAATTTGTATTGTTAATTAATTTATGAGAAAGAGCTTCTAAATTTTTAAAATATATTATTATAAAAAATATCTATTAGTTATTGTTTATGTGTATTAAAGTTATTCACTATTTTATCTACTGAATTGTACAGTACGTTTACAATGTTTCATAACACAGAAGAATGATACCATAACATAAGCGTATTCATAAGTCTATGAATACGTGTTTGTGTCCGTAAGAAAACTTTATGGACATATAAAGTCAGACATGGTCACAATTCAGTCAAGTGGAAAGTTATATACATTGTGACCGAAAAGCTTTCGGAAATTCTCATTTAAAATTCGCGCGCTGTATATTTTTCGATATTTTAAGTTTATGTAGTTTGGCAGCACTGTCCTTACAATTACTATGCCAAAAATGAGCGCGATCTGTCAGACAGTTCGTTTACGGCAGCTGTTGAAACCAGTTCACCTCAGTAGTGCGTTGCGAAAAAAACAATGGAAAAAAATATTGAACAAAGAGTTTGCATCAAATTTTGTTTTTCGAACGAAATTTCGTGTGCAGAATCGTTGCGAATGCTACAAAAGGCTTATGGGGAATCAGTTTTATCGAAAACTCAAGTTTATGAGTGGTACAAAGCCTTTCAGGACTGTCGTACGACCGTCGAAGACATGCCGCGTTCTGGACGACCTTCGACCTCTACCACCGACGAAAACATTGAAAAGGCAAAGGAAATCGTGTTCAAAAATCCTCATGTGAGTGTTAGAGAGATAGCACGAGAGCTAGGCATCGGTCGTGAGATGGCTCGTTTGATTTTGGTGGACAATTTGTGTATGCGACGTGTCAACGCCCGGCTTGTTCCGATTCACCTCAATTTGTTCAACATTATCAACGATTTTAAGGCCAAACATTCAATAAATACCATCGAACAGCCACCGTATTCACCTGATCTTGCACCGTGTGACTTTTTCCTGTTTCCCAACCTCAAATTACCACTCAGAGGAACGCGTTTTGAATCCATAGAAGACGTAAAACAGAATTCGCAGAGGGAACTCAAAGCCATACCGGAAAGCGCCTATAAAAAAGGTTTTTGATGATTGGAAGAAACGTTGGCATTTGTGTATCGCTTCTAATGGAGCATATTTTGAAGGAGATAAAATAAATATTGATGAAGATTAAGAATTTTGCGTTTTATTTAAAATTTTCCGGAAACTTTTCGGTCACAATGTACATAACAATCGAAAAAATTCAAAAGAGATATTCTTCATTCCCAGAAAACAATTCGGGAAGAACCAATGCTTTCTAACAGCTTTCCCGCATTGCTATATATTTACTGCAAATATTTTATTTACGTATAGTACTTACAATGTTCGAGCATCAAGGTGGGCCAATGCGACACACAGGGACTGCGCTTAAATGATACTAAAATCTAATTTAAAAATAGGTTTGAACGATAGCTCTGTCTCAAGATTTATATCTTCAAGTACGTCTTAAATTCACATAAAATGTTTACTACTGAAAACTACTTAGACTTGACTCTATCAGGACTAAACAGATTAACCTGGCCTAGTTTACAATTCACTTAAATTTTCATACATTTTAATACTGTTTAATATACTATTTTAATGTTGGAAGGGGCATTGGTACACTGCGACAAAAATATAACTTCCCACATGCCTCCGAAGAGAGTCAATTTAAGGATACTGTTAGTTCCAAGAACGACCGGGTCTACATCCCGGAACCACTCCTCGACCATCCTCGTGCCATTCAGTGCCCTTCATAGGGGCTACACAAGCAGGTCTCAGCGTGTTACTACCACAACAATAACAAAGATCTTGACAAAAATAAAAATTGCTCTTAGTTCAATATATCAGACCACATTTGGTTCCATGAAAGCCAAAGCGAAATTATTAAACTCATTCTCTGACAAATATAAGTTACATACACATCCGATAGACAAAAGTTTCTTTCTGCGTTTTAATGAAATTGCAGTTAGCAACATCTCTTTATTCTCTCATTGAAAATCGATAGTTAACCGGAGCACGTCCAGTTAGGAAACTGAGAATTCAGTCTGGTTAGTATGAGAATCCTATTATGAAGAATTTTAATGTTAACTCAAATAAGCTGTTTGATTTGACTTTGACTTTTAACCGTCTTCTCAAATAGGTCATGCTTCATGTCTCTAAGTAAGATACAGTATTACAAGTTGATATTCCACAAAAACTATATAGTCTTGTGAAGCAAACACTTGTAGTCCAATGAATTATATACCTATGGACTGTAAGATAATTAAATAAAAATTCGAATATTTTCTAAGATCACTAATGATGAGTACTAAACAATACTCGAAACAGCGTTGTGTGGTCAACCAAATTTCAACAAATTAATCAAATTTTTGATTCTGTTTCTTCATTACTGTTCGAACTCATCCCTTTGTTATTTTCTTGTGAATTTTTTTTTGTAGCCATCTTATCGAACTTTTTTTAGTTCCCTCGTATTGCCAAATTGTAAATATTATTTAGTGTTATATATATAATATAAATGTTAACAAATTGTCATATAAATATGAATTTAAATAAATATTAGTTATCATTCTATTTGATAACACAACTGAACTGAGAAATCTGAGCAATATTTTTACGAGTGAAGAATTTCTTCAAGACATCAATAAAAAATAAAATAAACGAAATTCTCTTTTTAATATTTTACTTAGAAATTTTTGTTATTTTTTTAAATGATAAGAAGTATAATTATCATAACTGTTAAATAATTTTGAAAATAATCAACAGTGATATATATTATCTAGACACACTTCTCTCATTTGCGGACTTCTGGTGCAAGCAGGCAGGCAATAAAAATTCGTTGGTGGGCAATAAAATTTAATAATTTTCAATTAATGCATTTAAATTTGAATCTCGATGGGAATATTTTGTGTGCTGTCGATGCGAAAAAACTAAAAACAAACCGAAATGTATCGCAATCTATTTATTATTGAATGAAATGATATTCATTAGTACGCATCTTAATTAAAAGCTCTCATATCTTTAAACTTATAAACATCTATGAAATTTATTATTGGTCGACAGCATTATAAACGTCTGTGCTTCTCCAGCATTGAAATAATTTATGTGGGCATATTTTCTTCTTCTCTGATACTATTGTAGATCCGCAAAAAGCTTATTCGATTCTTCATCAAAACAAATTTGTATTGTTTTTCAGTGCAAACTTTTTATCAGCAGAGATACGAGATCATAATAGATACTATCATTTATTCAGAGTTCGGCTGCTGCTGGCCAAGTTAACACGCTGGGCTAAAATTTAGCATTTAATCGTTAAAATTAGTGATCACGCGCGCATTTATTGTTGATTAAATAAAAATGTTTATTTAAAAAAGTATCTCAAATTTTTTTTACCAAATATATTATAAAATTTAATAAAACAAATTACGTAGTAAACAAAATTATATTTCTGAATTTAAAAAAAAAACATTTTTTTTCTAAACGGTTCAACTATTTTATTTTAAATTAATTTTTATGTGAAGTAAACCCATTAAATCTGGAAAAGATTTGCAGATTTTCTGCTTTCTGATAATATTTTAAAATGCTCCAGAATATAAATAACAGTGGAATGCTGAGTTGGTCCACGATTCTCGTGGGTGTGGGATTTATATTCTTAGAACTGTTTGTGAGGTACGTCACTTCAAGTTTATTGAATATTAAAGTATTTTATTTTACATTTAAAAGATAATGTTTTTAAAAATTGTGTCAGTGAAGAGACTATGAGACAAATCTGTTTTTTAAGCTTTATGAGACATACGTAAAAACTGAATTTTCTTCATGAGAATAGTTTTTAGTATTTTGTCTACTAATTGTCTGGCAAAAATTGTTTATTTCATTTGTTTATTTTGAAGAATTGAAAAAGTTCTTGAAGAGTTGCTTCTTTAATATACATAAAATTAGACTGTTTAGTGAAATTATATAGAGTATATTGATTTAAGAAAATACTATGAAATATCTACTTTTATGCTGAACTTTTATTACTAGCTATAAAATATACTTCCTTCGAGTTTTATTTATATCCCTAACTCAAATTCAAAGAACTAACAATTAAAAAAAAAACATTAAAGAACTATAAATTAAAAAAGACATTAAAGACCTGTAAATTTAAAAAGACTTAAATAAACTATAAACCAAAAAAGAGATTAAGATTTTTTTTAAATTGTATTAAATTTTTTAAATAAGTTTGTTATAAATAGGAAATGTTTTTTATATTTTATTATATATTAAAGTTTATATAGATGTGCTATAGATAAGTATTAACAGTAGCTTATTAATATCCAATACCTATCGTTCAACCTCTTGACTTAGACCGGACACTATCTATACCTATCTTCATCAATAAGGATATTACAATAAGGATATTAATTTATAAAAAAATGTTTGAATAATATTAAAATAAAATTTTTTACTTAAGTGCAGAATCATATATATTATTAACATATATCTTTTAAAAAATTATTTTATTTTATTAATATTAATAAAATAGCAAACTATCTGATACCTTCTTTCGTCAATAGAAAATCTCACTAAACAATAGGAATAAATTAAAATATATATATTTATAGTAGAAAAATATAATATGTTTTTTTAAGAATAGTGCAAAACACATAATATAATTATTATTAACATATGTATTTAAAAAAAAAACAGATTATTCAATAAATATTAATGAAATAAAAAGCTATCGTCTTAGATCGGACACTGTCCATATCATTTTTCGTCGATTGAAATTCTCACTTTCAATAAGGATAATAGTTTTAATAAAAAATATTTAAGTAATAGAAAAATAAAATCTTTCACTTTAGTGCGGACTTACCATATATTTATTATTAACACAAATATTAGAAAAACATTATTTCATTCTATTAATACTAATAAAATACTAAATAAGCGTCTTCAATCCGACACTATCAATATCTTTTTCATCGATAGAAATGAATAATAATAACAATAAACTAACAAATATATATTTATAATATAAAAATATATCAATATTTCAATATTAAAAATAAATATTAATCTTCTCGGACCATTAAATCACTTGTAGGCACTATAAACTCATCCATTATAATTCGAGAATTCTGCGCTTCCCTCAATGATTTAGCTAAACGTTTCAGAATCTACTTTATATAGGTTCCCGGATATAAGGATATCTCAGGTAATTCTAGGGTGAACAAACTTACCAAGGCAGACACACTTCTCCCTGACATTCACTTCTCAGATATTGGAGCCTCAGATATTGCAACAGTTAAACTGCCAATTTAACAAAAATATTTGAGTATAGTCAAGCAAAACAGAATAGACAAACCCTACTATTAGATCTCTAGGTTGGTCTAAATTGTACAAAATACTACTGCATAATAGGTAATCATGTTATGAGACTGGGTTCACACTATAATGACTTTTGTCGTGGTTGTAGCTCTGAGGATGAGGAGAACATTGTGCTGCATCTCATATGTTACTGCCCATATTTAGTTAGAAAAATATCTAAAATCTTCTGGGCTCCTTTTTCCTACCGACCTGACTAAGCTATCATCCAGCATAATTAGGGAATTAGACAAGTTTGTTACGTTGGTTTATTTTAACTTTATGGGGGAGTCTTTGCTTTCGACAATGGTCGTATGTTGATCTGTAGTCTATATATGAACATATGCCAGCCCTGTGCTACCACAACGAACCATTATTTAAGTAGCGTTATTCACCGGAGGAATTGACGAAATAAATTCCTCCATGACAATATAATCTTAAGAACAAAAAAACTTTACAATTTTTAGTAGATATTTTTGTGTTTATATTTAAGTAATAATATTATCTAGTAACCTAGATAATAAAACTTTAGAAACTTGTCCCTAATATTATTTTTTCCATATACATATTTAGATACATATGGTTATGTATATAAGTAATATTGTTTCTAACTCCTATCATAAATTAATTATTTGGTGAACTGTAAAATAACTGATATCCATATCAGTGGCACATACGCCACTTATGTGTACTACTAAAATCTAAAATTAAATATTAAATAAATTATAATTTTGATAATTTATTTTTATCTGAGAATAATATATTAAAATTTATTTCATTAGATTTCTACCCTGATGGGTATATATAAATATAAAGTACCGTTGTTGAGCTGACATGTGTTTCTAAATGTGATAATTTCATGGATGTCTAAACTGTCTGATCTACAGAAGTTCTCAGATAGCACAGACTGTGTTAATTACATTAATTTACACTAAAATAGCTTGTGTTTAATAAAGAATTAATTTATATGCCTTCCACTTAGTAACTAGCTTTTCTAGATTTTCTGTCAAAAATCTAACAAACTAAAAATATAATATTAACAAAAGTATATTTATTTTATGAATAAATATAATTATTAAGTAATATAATCACAATAACTAATTATTAATAAAGTTAACAGTTTTTTCTTTTAATTTTTATTCGTATTCAAATTTTAATAACTCATAGACTGTGTTTCTTAAAGCTTGACTTATTTATGTTTTATTTGAAATTAATTTGTAAAATTTGTAAAAAACGCAGAAACTATTATATTTATATTTTTTATTTTAAGTAGTTACTCACTTCATAAATATTTAAATATTTTATAGCGTATTCAAACAAACAGACTAGATATTTCTAACAAGGATGTTAACTTAGAAGGTTAACATAAGACTAAATAAAATAAGTACTAATATTATGCACACAAATATTGTATATTATATTTTAATAATAAAATATCTAAAAATAAATTTGCTAATAAATTAAAATAACTGAGCAAATTTATTTAATTTACTTATTCAAACAATATCTTAGCCAAAAATTCTAACATTTTTAAAAAATTTTATTAGATAAGAAATTCACGAACTTTAATGTTCTCAGGTAAAATGTCATTCACAATGCAGAGAAAGATAATAAAATAGTCGTAATATAAATATTTATACACAGATATGATCTAATGAAGTATAATAAATTTTTTTTGCTTTATAAATAAAATAAAAATAAAAAACAAAACATAACCACCTGTAAACAGTGCCAATTTAAGCACTACCAGCGCCCTAGGACAGATTGTTATGAGTTATTATGTTTAGAATTAGATTAACTTCTTTCCTCACTAGCAACTTTTACAGAAGAAATAGATTTTAGGGAAGCACTTATTTGACAGTTTATTAGACTATTTATCGGTAAGGACAAAAGCTCTGTTAAATCATCTAAAGCCAAGGAGATGGAGCTAGTTTATAGTCTTAAGGATTCTTATGAGGAATATGGTATTAAAATAAAGAATAAACGATTATTATGGGAAACAGAAGAATAGCGGATGATCTGCCACTGCAATCAACTGATCATCCAACTATGTATATGGAATAGTGTTAAATTGATTTTACTTGAGTTATATATATGGTAAAGTGTAACTTAAGTAGATGATCTTAATAAAATCAGTGAATATAATTATTATATTTAATAATTTATTAACACTTATAAAGAAAAGACTCTCACAGATATCTGAAACTCAAGTAAAAACTCATGATTTTCTACAATTAAATTAGCGTAAAAAGATTAACTGTATAATTCAAAATATTTTTATTATTTTTGCTAATACGTATATATAATTATTTAAAAAAAAAAATTTTAAAATTTCGCAAAAATATATTTACTTTACACCGAATGTGTTAATTTTTGGTCACGCAAACGAGTTACAAAAATTTCGTTCAAATAAAAATATTTATTTTTACTATTTTCAGTTTATTTTCGGAGAGGTTGTGTGTAGCAATTCTGAGTTGAAGAGTCTGTATTTTTTTTTTTTTTTTGAATGAACTTGTTTTCTTACTAAGTTAATTAGACCTTCTAATTAAAGGTATTAATTGAAAATAAAATATTTGCATTATTAAATAATAATTTAAATAAATATCTTTAAGATAGCAGAACACGCGCCTTAAGTTATTTTCTTCTCCCCACCAATTAATGTGAGTCATATTCAAAAGAAAAAAGTTTTTATTCAAATAAATGTGTTAATCCTATATAACTCTTCTATTACATCTATAAATCATTCTGTAAAACCTTCGTAAGTACAACTGTTGCATATTTCACTTTAGGAATATTAAGTGTTGTTGTATGAAGAAAAGATATTAGTATTGTTAATCCAGTAGAATAAATGAAAAATATATTTCATCTAACCTTAAACACCCGCCAGAAGGTACTGAGTATTCTAGAAAGGTACAACCTTGAGTACCTAACCTTAAACACCCGCCAGAAGGTACTGAGTAATCTAGAAAGGTTCAACCTTGAGTATCTAACCATATCGAATATGAGTGCTAATGTTGGCATTAAAAACTAGTACGTAGCTTTACTAATAGTATTCAGTGGTATCCCAATCGAAAATAAAGGTACATTTAGGTAAGATTCTATAAGTCAGACAGCATGCAACTTATTCTACGATGCCACTATTTCTAATGGCACTATTTCTTAAGTGAATCGCGTGTCTTGCGAAGTTGACTAGCACTGAGGTCTTCTATCTATATGTTATGCTCTCATTTGACTGCTTGTCGCTCAAATATTATTGTAGAAACCTATTCAATAAGGCTTGCTCGCATACGACGATGTAATGATTTTATATGAATCAGGTTAGATTAGGTTGGAGTGGCAGCCTTGTGCTCAAAGCCCACTTGAACTCAAATAATGGCCCGTTGTAGCACCACGGATAAGCGTTGTTCATTTGAAATTTAAGGACAGCATGCGAGCAAAGCCGAAAGTAAAGTAGTAGTAAAATTGAGTAGTAGTAGATGAGTTGAGATGAGATGAATAGTATAGCTACAATAGCTACAATTTTGTTGTAAAAAAAATATATATATTTTGTATACTATAACAGGAGATGTGAGCGCCAATTAGACATCGGAAACGACTGTCTAGGAGTAGTACCTATATACGATCGCTTCCAGTTTAAAACTATCTTTTTTAATCTCAAGCTACCTGTTTTTTCTATAGTTGTTATTTTATGGGAAAATAATTATTTCTGTTTTTAATTATTTGCCTTTTTAATATATCACAAGAATACGTAACCTGGTTTCTACGTGACCATCGTGACAGGTGAGAAATCATGGATCTATGCCGAAACAAAACATCAATCCACTATTTAGGTCTTCTGAAGTGATCAAAACCAGATAGAAGTGGTTTGCGAACAGGAGAAATCCAAGGAAACGTTCACATGTTTTTTCAGAAAAACCATGTCATTGCGACATTCATGTTCCACTTGAACAACGTAGAACAATCACTTCGGAGTGGTACACAACCATTTATTTGCCAAGAGAACAAATTCTCTTTGCAGAATTGAGAAAAACCAACCGTCGTAGTAAGATCATTCTAAAGCACGACAATACGTGCTCCCACACATTACATTCAACAAAATAGGTTTTGAGCACTCTAAACATCGAATTGTTGGGTCATCCGCCTCACGGTCCGCCACTTCGTGCCCAATGACTTCTTGTTCCCAAACATAAAGAAAAAATGCGTGGCAAGCGTTAAGACATTCAAGACCCTGGTTTTGGAGATATCTACTTCAGAGTGACAAAACTGTTTCGAAAATTGGTACAGTTAAATGTGAACACGTTTTGATCATCATGGAGAATACTTTGGAGAACAATAATAGGTGCAAGACTTAAACGGCAAACCTCATATAAAAGATATATTCATAATACACCCATATTTCTTGATCTCAGTATATTCATCCACACATGTTTTTATAAATATCTTGACCAAAAAGTGTGTGAAAGTCTAGTCAGTAATTGTCGGTTCTAAAATTTCAGTGATTCTTTTATATAATGAGTGTCTTTCTAACTATGAAACGCTTATTGACCGACCAATAATTGAAATTGAGTTATTAGATAGTTTACTAAAATATCTCCATCAAATCAATTCTTTTCTACTAGCACACACTAAACTAGTATCTTTAAAAATATTAATTAATTTTGAAGATATGTATATTCTTTTATTTAATCGCAGATCAACAAATGCCGAGTATATTTCGCACTTCCATCAACATAACTTTTCCTGTGTGGACTGGAAGCAAGCACCAGAAGCAACAGCTGGTAATTGTACTAGATATGGAAGTTATGGTGCGCTACGTTGTTATGGTGGCATGAATAATCTGCCATCAATACCGTAAATACCAGATAACATACCAGATTATATATTTCAGTAAATAAACAAAAATGTTTTTATAGCGAACAAAAAGTGCGTAAACTTGAAGAGATTATATTTTGTGGTTGGCCGGAAAATGTATTCAATCCCCTTATTGATCTGCAACCTTTTCCGAAAATCCGTACTTTAACAATTGAATACAGCAATTTTACCGAAATTATATTTGATTTTCCTGAAATGTTTTATTTGCAAGTAAACAATAACAATTCAACATATACTATGTGATATAAAATTTCATTTTTTAGACTATCAATATATCTTGGACCAATTTATCGCATATTAGCAGTCGTACTTTTAAACGGGTACATACGCTTAAAGTAGCTGATTTGCGCTGGAATCAATTAATACAAATGGAAGGTCCACTTATATTGCCGCGTTACTTTGAAAAACTCTATTTGGCTGGTAAGTAATTGATAGTTGATAACTGTAGCAAGTTTTAATATTTTGTAGTTGGTTAGGTAATCCTTGGAACTGTACGCGTAATTTTAAATGGTTACTTCTACCAGAACAAGGGGCTGCAGTAGTTGATCGTGGTGAATTGCTATGCGCCGATCGCAAATATAAAGATCGCCTTATGTTGGCAGTTATGCATTATAAATTGGTATGTTTGATACACTGAAAAAAAAATGGTTTATAATTCATTGTCATTTATAGTTATTGAAAGAAGAATGTCAGTCACACCCTGACTTACAAAATTGTACTTGCATTATGCATCATATAATACCGAAGTCCCACATACCACTTTATACTGTCAACTGCTCCAATTTGAATTTCCAACGGCTGCCCGCATACATACCAGCAAATACGACTATGCTCTTCCTTAACAATAATCAGGTAAGCACTATATAGGTGCATCCGCTTAATTGATTAACTTCTAATAGTATCTATGGATTATGTTAAATTATTAAATTTATACTATATCTATTAGATAACAGATGTCTTACCTTTGCGTAATAATGTTAATTACCGTCATGTAGTGGATGTACATTTGGACAATAATCTTGTTGAAAGTATTGATGTCCTCGAAGGAGGCTATTGGCTCGAGCACTTTCGTCTATTAAGTTTACGTGGCAACAAGTTAAGAAAGGTACGTATGTACTAAGTCTTATCAAGCTTATAAATATATAATCTAATTATCTTACAGTTGCCAGTGTATGCTTTGGATAACGCCTTGGAAGATAATGCAAATGCAAATCTTTTACTTCTTAGCATGAATCCGTGGTTTTGTTCGTGTAAATTTGCGATGAGCTTTCGGGAGACTCTTATTAAATATAATTCCATTTTACGTGATTCTTGGAATATAACTTGCACTTACCAACAAGGAGATGATCTAAGGCAAGCGAAAGTGTTATCCATAACACGACAAGATGTTTGCAAATTAAATGAGGATCCGAAAGTACATCCATTGGATATGCTGAATGGTGTTTTAGCTAGTTTAATTT